GAGGAGCCGAGAGAGACGAGGAGAGAGAGAGAGCAGAGAGAGAGAGAGAGAGAGGACGAGAGAGAGAGCGAGAGGAGAGACGAGAGAGAGAGGAGAGAGAGAGAGAGAGAGAGAAGAGAGAGAGAGAGAGAGAGAGAGAGAGATGAGAGGAGAGAGCGAAGAGAGAGAGAGAGGAGAGAGAGAGAGAGAGGAGAGAGAGAGAGAGAGAGAGAGAGAGAGAGAGAGGCGAGAGAGAGAGAGAGAGAGGAGAGAGAGAGAGAACAGAAAAAGACAGTCCCAAAACACCCCCCCTCTCAATGGGTGAAGTCAAGATAGGTGAGGTTAGCCTCAAACAAAAAATCTCTATCCTCGGACAAACAAGGATAGGCCTAGATTAGGTTAGGTTAGGTATTTTGATTCCGTTGACAATTATTTGGTTTGTAAAACATGCAACCCGTCCTCACACTAGGCTGGTTAAAGCAGCGGCCGTCCTCCCCATCCGCATTAATCAATTTTAGCATACAGTGTATTAAACAATTGGTTTGTTCTCATTTATAAATTAATATTATTATACATAACCATTCTGTGTATAGTTAAGGTTATGTGTTTTGGTTCTGTTGGCGATTATTTGTATATGAAGTATTGTTGTTGTTTTAGACTAAGCTACTCAGAACGAAATGACCATGTAGCACGGGCTATGGTGAGCTGCATTGTTTATGAGAACAGATTGGATTTGCAGATGTATGATTCGAACCGAGGACATGTACGAAACACTTTTCGAGAAAAGTTCGAGCGTCATCAATTGTGAGTCGAGTGTACAGTGTTTTTCATTCATAAATAGAAGTTTAACTGCTGGTTTAACGAGCGCTTGGCAACTGTTTATGAGGACAGGCTGCTGGGAGAGGCACTTCAACTATGGAATGGTGTGAGGTCAGCAAGCGTGAAGCAGCTAGTAAAGGTATGAAGCTGGTACTGGCGTACATAGAGCCGTACATGGTGTACGTACATGGTGTTGGCGTAGAGCCAGTTTTGGCATAGAGTCAGTGTTGGCAAAAAGCCAGTGTTCGCTCTAGGGGGACCTCGCTAACCCTAAGTGTAGGCTTCCTGTCTACAACAACAACAACAGAAATTATAAATAAAAAAAATACCCAAATCACACTAATCTCACACATTTCACAATTAATTCCATAATATCAAATTAAGAAACATTTGAATATATATATACACAAGATATATGCAAGAAAAAATATGTATCCAATACATGTTTTCGATATTTAAATTCACAGCTTTTAAAGTTAAATTTATATTAGTCTTATTTAACTTCACCAAGAAAAGTGTTGAAAACTTCATATAAAAAAGTGAGGGATACAAAAGTGTAATTTTTTAATGATTGATTCAGGAATGCTGAAATATCAGTTTACGTTCATAAGTGACTGTTTTCCCCGCGAAAAACGATGTGCTTCGGTGACTTGTTCTTGGGGGAATATTCTTCTCGTGTTCTTACTGCTCGCTGCCGTCGTCCAAGAAGGGTGAGTATATAGTGTATTGTATTCTTGATACCATAGAGTCACGGTAGGTGTATTGTGGGTGGTTATCACTGTATTATATATATGATCATACAATGTAAGGTTTGTGAGGCTTACAGGGGGGGGGGGGGAGGCAAATGACAGAGGACCTTTGACAAGCCGCCGGCTTCCTGCCTTCGTCGAGGCCACTAGGGTTAGTGGCCGTCAGGTAAATCAGAATGAGCCAACTGTCCTTGCTTCGACAGGTTCAATGAGACAACTGTGTAGCGAATAGTATTTTATATGACTGGTATATAACCTCTAGCATTTATTATTATTAAGCTAAATATTCTGTTAAAATATGTTTGTTAATTTTTATGTTTCATTTGTCAATGTTTGTAAGCAAGTTAAATTGCGTATTAGATATTGTTTATATGTGTGTGTATAAAGTTTTCCCGCGCGTTTTGGTGAGGTTGGCGCCCCTGTAGCCCCCGCGAGGACAGAGGAGCCGGCCTTGACCAAGTGAGGTTGGGTGTTGCGCGCGCTCCTCACTCTTGTGAGGGGCTGCTTACCTTGCTTTTCTCGGTGACTGAGTGGAGTCGTTGATCTGGTGAGTGAGAAAGGATTTCCACCTTGTATTATTTTTCCATGCCTTGAGATAGCGTGTGTCTTTTAATCAATGAAATCCATGCACAATGTTGCTTTGTTTACATCCCGCCAGATCTAAATAATTGGACTGTTCACTTCACGAGTGCTTCCTCTCGTGTTTGAAGTGTATTTCTAGAATTTACATATGTTCTATATTTCCATTTTTTAAGTACATGTATTGTAGGTACGGAAATGGGGAGGCTCTGTTGATTCTCATTATTGCATTTTTATTAGTATAAATTGCCATATCCCCCCCCTCTTCACTACTGTCCTTACTCCGATAAGTTCAGACAGTGGGAACTTCAGTGGGCCAACTGTCCTTGCTTCGACAACGTCAAGTGGTTGACTGTCCTTGTTTCGACAGGTTCATAGTTGTTGTTCTCTTAATACAAACATTTCCTGTTTGTTATACTGTATATATTTTAACTTTAAACATTGAGGTGTTGAACATTTCTATTGTTAGTACGCTGTTTTTGGCGACAATAACCCCTAGAGGTTGATAAGCCTTCATAACTCGCCAGCGGTTGATAGGCCTTACACCAAATCATGTCCCGTCCTACTCAGAGCAACAGTGTCGTCCCAGGCCTACCCATGTTGGTAACCAACCCGATAGTAATCACCGCACAAAGTTGGCCGAGGCTCGCCCTGAAGCACGTGGCCTCCACCATTGGACAGACAGACATCTTCCTGTAGGTCGATCTCTAATATGTATTGCAATTTCGACGCTGTTAACAATAGCATCCAAATTGCAATGGTATAGTGAAATTAAAATCACCGTAATAGTAACGGACTACTTTGGATCGGCCTCGATTGGTTAGGTGGGTTGCTTGGGTTCGTACCTTTCTGGTTTGACAAAACTGTCGCATTTGTTAGGTGTTTGCTTAGGTAAAACGGTTGCAGTTTTTACGTAGTGGCAAATTCAGAGTACGGAAAGGTACAATGTTCGTTTCTGGGAATTAGAGATTCTCGGCGCTTGGAATGAAAATGGGGAAGAAAATGGTTGGCCTCCATGTGGATGTATTGATGTCGCCAGCTTGGCCCCGCGCCAAGCTGGCCAATTCTGTTTATATTTTTTTAAGCACAGGATGAAAGCAGATATCCTTTTTTTACTTTTCCCACAGCTTATTTTTAAGCTTCACCCTATTAGTACTGAAGCATCTGTCTCCTGTTAGCAGACTTAGAGCTTTCCCTTCCCTATGCTCAAGTTCAGCCTTACCAGCCGCGGAGCAGACCACCTCTAGCTTACTCTTGTTGGCATCTTAGCCTCGCGTACACCTGTGTGGGCTAAACGTACACACACACACACACACACACACACACACACACACACACACACACACACACACACACACACACACACACACACACATACACACATACACACATACACATTACGGAACTAACACGTTCACACTGCAATTTCACAGGGAAGATAAAATGTGAATATAATAACGACAAGCTTCGCTTCAGTAATAAATTTTCTTGAAAATGTGCACACATATCTATGTGTGCACACACACATAGATATGATAGAGCCCAGTAGGCTCAGGAATCTGTACACCAGTTGATTGACAGTTGAGAGGCGGGACCAAAGAGCCAAAGCTCAACCCCTGCAAGCACAAATAGGTGAGTACACACACACACACACACACACACACACACACACACACACACACACACACACACACACACACACACACACACACACACATTACGGAACTAACACGTTCACACAGTGCAATTTCACAGGCAAGATAAAATGTGAATATAATAACGACAAGTTTCGCTTCAGTAATAAATTTTCTTGAAAATGTGTATTATTATTTTTTGTTTTATTTCAGGTAAGTTGGTAACACTGCAGCGTCTCCACAATGTTCAACTCTAAGGTAGTATTTAACATGTCCTTCTCCTGTCTTCGCTGTGTGTCTGTATATATATACATATATAGACAGACACACACACACCATCTAGGGGCCTAGTAGCCTGGTGAATAGCGCGCAGGCTCGTAATTCTGTGGCGTGGGTTCAATTCCCGCACCAGGCAGAAACAAATGGGCAAAGTTTCTTTCACCCAGAATACCCCTGTTACCTAGCAGTAAATAGGCACCAGGGAGTTAGTCAGCTGTCACGGGCTGCTTCCTGGGGTGTGTGTGTGTGTGTGTGTGTGTGTGGAAAAAAAAGTAGGTAGTAAACAGTTGATTGATAGTTGAGAGGCGGGCCGAAAGAGCAAAGCTCAACCCCCGCAAACACAATTAGATGAATACACACACACACACACACACACACACACACACACACACACACACACACACACACATATGATGTCTGTGTCTCGCTTTAACACTCTTGGTTCACTGGGAATTGAGACGATGTTTGTAATGAAACTGCAAGTTAAGAACCGTTGCCCTTCATCAGCTGATCTAAAGCCTGATCCTGGACGCTTATTTATTTAATAATTTTATTAGTTTTTATTGAGAATGAACTTGATTTAATGTTTAAATTTACAATCATGTTATCTATAAGATGAGCCAGGAGCCACTTGTGTGTCAGAGCCTTCGTAGGGTCGCTTGACCTTACTCGCACACCTTACTGCTAGTTGAGCAAATGTGTTGTAAATGCCAGCCAGCCTAGGAATGAATGATCACTGAGGCAGTGATGCGTTTGAGAAAGGCACATACCAGCATGAGGCTACAGATGGCTGAGCGCCTTGTGTTGTGATTCCCAATGTCTGGTTGTCCATGAAGTTGGGCCAGGTGGGGAGCCTTACAAACATTGACCTTATACATAAAAGTCAGGTCACAAAGATATCCCCCTGTGCTTAAGGCTCAGATGTATTAAACAGTCCATCCAGACTGGCTCATCACCAGAGATGAGTGTTCTGACACAGTTCTCCAGTTTGTACAAAATCTATTCAGAATTCTGGTAAATGATGGAGGCTATCGGAAAGAGTGGTGCACACTCAAGGTGGGAGTGAGCGCGTGCTTCATCTAAGATTTTACAACCTCTGATGTCAAGAAGGTACGAGATGCACCGTAAGGTTCCACGTTTCCCGGCTGCTTCCTTAATGCCAGGTTCAACACATGGCTTTTCATGGCCATTTAAGAGTCGAATTTCATGCATACCGCCTCCCACAGCCACCACCACCACCCCAGCCACCACCACCACCCCAGCCATGCATACCGCCTCCCACAGCCACCACCACCACCCCAGCCATGCATACTGCCTCCCACAGCCACCACCACCACCCCAGCCATGCATACCGTCCCCCCACAGCCACCACCACCACCCCAGCCATGCATACCGTCCCCCCACAGCCACCACCACCACCCCAGCCATGCATACCGTCCCCCCCACAGCCACCACCACCACCCCAGCCATGCATACCGTCCCCCCACAGCCACCACCACCACCCCAGCCATGCATACCGTCCACCCACAGCCACCACCACCACCCCAGCCATGCATACCGTCCCCCCCACAGCCACCACCACCACCCCAGCCATGCATACCGTCCCCCCACAGCCACCACCACCACTCCAGCCATGCATACCGTCCCCCCACAGCCACCACCACCACTCCAGCCATGCATCCCGTCCCCCCACAGCCACCACCACCACTCCAGCCATGCATACCGTCCCCCCACAGCCACCACCACCACCCCAGCCATGCATACCGTCCCCCCACAGCCACCACCACCACCCCAGCCATGCATACCGTCCCCCCACAGCCACCACCACCACTCCAGCCATGCATACCGTCCCCCCACAGCCACCACCACCACCCCAGCCATGCATACCGTCCCCCACAGCCACCACAGCCACCACCACCACCCCAGCCATGCATACCGTCCCCCACAGCCACCACCCCAGCCAGTAACCAGCAGAGCACGAGGCCAGAATAGCGAATAAAGGGGCAGGAAATGTAATGAATAAAAGTTAATATATTGTGTGATGTTATATATAAGCCCAACCTAACCCACAAGTATTGCGTGTGTGTGCGTCCTAGCGTGGATTTGTGTGCGTCCTGGTGTGTGTTTTGTACGTTGTGATGCGTGTTTGTGCGTTCTAGCGTGTTTTTTGTTGGGGGCGTTTGTTTTCGCCTAGTTCTGCTTGCAGGGGTTGAGCTCTGGCTCTTTAATCCCGCCTCTCAACTGTCAATTAACTGATGTACAGATTCCTGAGCCTACTGGGCTCTATTATATCTACATTTGAAACTGTGTATGGAGTCAGCCTCCACCACATCACTGCCTAATGCATTCCACCTGTTAACTACTCTGACACTGAAAAAGTTCTTTCTAACGTCCCTGTGGCTCATTTGGGTACTCAGTTTCCACCTATGTCCCCTTGTTCGCGTACCACCCGTGTTAAACAGTTTATCC